TGCTTTTCAGCTCCGAAAGTCAAAATTAAGGTCAATGTTAAGATAAATATTTCTTTGGCAAAAAAAAAACTTGAGTACACTATGATCAAGCTATCTCAAACTTGTTACAGTGCTTTCTAATTAGAATTTCTTGCTTTGGAGTGCTTTTCAGGTCCAAAGGTCACAGGTCAAGGTCCCCGTTACTATAAATAGGAAATTGTTTTTTTTTCATTATAACTTAAGTTCCTTTTGATCGATCAACATCAAACTGCAGTACTTCCTTACCATAAGTACTTCCTATTGATTACTTTTGAGGTTTGAAGGTCAAAGGTCAAGGTTAGTGTTACCATATATAGGAGATTGGTTTTCATGCGACAACTTGAGTTTTATTTAAACAATTACAATCAAACATCATGCAGTGCTTACTTACCAAAGGGACTTGCTTGGGACTGCTGTTCAGGTTTGAAGATCTAAGGTCAATGTCACTGTTACTATAAATAGATGATTTGTTTTCGTACAATGACCTCACCAAAGGTACTTGCTTGGGATTGGATTGGTGTGATTACTTGAGTTTTCTTTGGACAATTAGAGTCAAACTTCATACAAATTGTATTAATCTTATATGTGATTTAAATGAACGGTCACAAAAGGCTAAGGCAAGATAAGTTACAAATAATAAAAACAAATCCAAATTCCAAATAAATAAGTAAATAAATACAAACCAGATAAATGAAAACATACAATTACAAATAGAGCCGGTTACTTCTAGTGACCGCTATTCAGTTGCCAGAGATGTACATTCACTGCAGCGAAATTCCGTCGACGGAAATATCTGTCAGACAGTACTCTCCAACAATGTTATGTATGTGTCCAATCAGAATCCTCTTGGTCCAACGGAAATGGACTGATCATTTAGTCGGATTCTTGTTTGAGATTCACTTGTTCAACAACCAAACATCATGATATTTAAAGTTAGAGAAACATTATTGAAATCCCTCACAAGTCCAATGAACCACAGATACTGACATAATACCGATCTAGTGATCACAGATTGTACTCGTTATTAACACCTTATATATGACTTTAAATGTGGTGTGAGCGTTGTCAGATAAAAAAAAAGTAACATCTCTAGCCACACACACACCATTCTCTGTACCATCTCTCACCTAACTCTATACTCCAATATCGTGATAAAACAAAATGTACATAATTGTATAGATGATAGAATAGACAAATTAATTTCTCTCTATTTTTTTTTCTCAGCATATAACAAATTAGAATTAACACATCATTCCCTATAAACACTTAGCCTAAATTATAACCCAACCATCTTACCCGTGTATGGATTCTTACTCTTTAAAAACTTAATCTATCCTACATTATCCCATCCCATCATAACATTTTCAACTTCGTGTTTTAAATGGGGAGGCGCCTTATATACAATGTATGTGTTTCAGTTTTAAATAAAAATATATCATTGTCGGTTTCAAGGGAAGCAAGTATATTGTCAAGCTTCGACAAGTATTGTTCTGTTAGCATGTTGTATTTCCAAATAGTTACCGAAGTCAGTTATGGATGTTACTTCAATGACTATTAAATACATAAATGTTTGTTTATCCTGTTGTGCATTGGAAGGGAGATAACTCAGTTTTGTGGTATCCTATTTCCAAAATTTTGATATTACTTCCAATTAACTATATTAATTGAATACGTGCTGTACAATGGCAACAGTCACATGAACGTTCCCTAAACGCGTTATTTAAAACCTACATGTATTGTCGATTTCTCGTGCATGTATTGTCGATTTCTCGTGCTGTTTTTTTCTTGATTTCGCACGCTGTGAAAAAAAACGAAGTTATCTGTCTTACACAGTTTTTAAACATTCAGTTTTTCTTTTTAGAAGCTACGAAGTTGATGATCTGTCTGGCACAAGTAATAAATGGGTGATGTTCATATTTACAAATTCATCCTAATCACAAAAAACATATATATGTGTTTGATATCACAAAACAATTGATATCATTGTACGGGAAATCTGTCTTCATTTTACATAAATAATAACTTAAACTTTCAAAGTTCCCAAACTTTTATAAAGCAAATGAGCTTTACAACACCATACCGGTTCTCGCGAGCCTATCTATTTCACAGGAACTTGGCACGAAGTTTTTTTTTTTTTTTTTTAATAATATCGACCTTCCTATGTTAAAAGGGAAATAACTCGGTAATGCTCAAACAATTGTTGTTTTACTATAACCCATGTATTATCAATTCTTTTCGAGGCCAAATTTCTATCAAAAAAACCTGTGGCCGCTAAATCTTCGATCTATACTTAAAATACACGGGATTACAATATTGAAATAGACACTATCTGTACGTGAAAATCTCGATCTTTACTAGAAATACATTGGATCACAAATACCAAAAGGGTCTCGAATTTTAACTAGAAATACATGGGATCCCACTAGAAATACATCGGATCACAATATTGAAATAGACACGATTTGAAAATCTCGATCTTTACCAGAAATACATGGAAACACAACATTAAAAAAATATCTATACTAGAAATACACGGGATCTGACCAGAAATATATAGATCACAATATTGAAAAGTCGATCATTACTAGAAATATACAGGATCGTAACATTGAAAAATAAGCAGTTTGCCCTCGGTTGAAACAGTTGTGACTACCGGATATCAACTTGTATATTTAGAGATAGAACTGGACACGTGTAGTTGTATATAACAATACATTCCGGCAATTCAGTAACTTTATGTCCACTATGACGAAAAGTAGGGGAAAGAGGTGGAATGCAGAGAGAGGAAGTCCTAGATGGATTCATATCGATGCATCTATCTTGTCGTGTATAGCGGAATACAACTCCCCTGGTGCATAGCGTGAGGAGGGGTAGATCCCTGGAGATAGTCACGAGGGAGGGGGTCCACTCCTCCTGTTTGCCAAGGTCTGATAGCATCCCCTAGAAAAATGGTTTCTAGCTAGCCTTCCCTTGGTATCTGCTGACAGTTGACACGCCCAATAAAACAGAAAGTACCAGATCGACATGCACGCAATCTAGCAATAGCACCACTCTTAAGCAGAAAAGTGGAAATTTCTGTATCAACAATTCTTTGTTTCTGTTGAATTTTGAAAACTTTGAAGTCATGGTCGATACAATATAATTTTATTAAACATAGACTTTTGATTAAATTACGATTGATATAATCTAGAAGCAACACATGTACTAAAGTATATTCTCTAGATATCGTTTACATAATTCGGCTACATATCTTTTCAGTTCTATCTCCATCGGCTGGTATTTTGCTTTCTGATAGTCCTTCTATTCGGCTTCTTTTACCCTACAACGGAGATAACTGTCTGTCTATATTCTGTAAATGGTAGATGGTGAAAGGATCTTACTGTATTGGTTTATCAATGTTAAGCTCGTCATCTAAACGTCAATAAAAGGTTGCTCTAGCGCTACTTCACACCGACCACGTGTAGAGGTTGCTTGACTCGAGCGTGTTGAATACTTTGGCCAACTTGATGTCCTTGCTATCCTTAATTGATTGATTGATTGATTGATTGATTGATTGATTGATTGACGGATTTTTCGTCTCCGTGACTCTGTACTTGTGGCATGTTTCAATTTTTACAACTTAATCATGTGGTGCTTTGCTATCAACATCCAAAACAATTCCATCGTCTTTATTGAAAGCAACAGATAGGAATTGTACATTCCTAATGATGGTTAGGACTGTTACCATATACACGTAAAATTGAAACCACAAAATTAAAAAGAAATATGCCATAACAACAATTACACCTAAAGATAATGAAATATAATCTGTTGAAATTTTTCTTCGTTAAGTTCAATGTCATTCATTTTGGGACACGTTCCAATGTACCATATGTCATGTGTGAGGTCAATTAATCCCCTTCACGTCCCGTTTAAGAGCGTCTGTAACATGATAGCGTGTCAGTAAATCAATAGTCATTATCATCGCTGATTATCCGATCTGCCGCTGTTAACAATTTAGTGTTATCACAGTGGTCACTGGTACTTAATATACATGATGACGTGTGAACACTTTCATTCAAGCACCTATGGTGTTTACCCGGAAGTAGCCTACTCGTGTCAGAATGGGCGTTGAACTTAAAGTTGCAACAGCGAACGCTCTAATTGAATTGAAATGTTTAAATGTTGAAATTACGTTGCATCTCCACTCGGTACGAGTTCCGAACTCTTTCTCAGTTGTTTAACAGTGTTGGCTTCTACTGTTACCGAAAGAAAGGTAACTCTTGTGTGCTTGGAGTGGCCTCGATATGCCTGATCGAAAGCATTGAGTGTCAGATATACTTTATTACGTGGATTTCACAATAAACTGGTTTTACCCCACAGTTAAAATGTCTCTTCAGGTATCTCTTTACGAGTCAGATAATATCATTATGACAGATTCTCGTTCTAGAAAGGAAATATTTTATCTACAACAAACATGTACATTAAACTGAAATTATGACTTTGACCCCATGGCGATGTGTGCCTAGGCTGTTATCTGTAAATGTGAAAAAATGTCCACTTACTTAATTGCACTATACTCTATAATAGTTTAAACGTTGCTGTCTTTGTAAGCATGAGATTAGCATTAGTACCATAGAGTTATGTATCTTAATCTATGATAGGCGTCGTACTCGAAGCGGCTCTGATTTATTTTTTTAAGTAAGTTTAAAGTTTTTAGACGAAAACAGATTAGGACAACACATTTTTGTTTAATACATAACGAAACGATTACAATTTAAGAGTCGCCTCGCGGGAATATTTAACGTAATGTGCCACGCCCCCTTCGTGAATCATTGGATAGTGATAGCGCTTCCATCAGCGACGATGACCTCATCTACTACCGCGAATAACCTATAGCAACTCACCGATGCGTTTGTAAATACACATGAGATGCTAGTTATCTTTCAAGCGTCTGCAACGGATGTAAAGCCGCGCCCGTAGAAGGAATTGTGGGACATTAAATGACCGGCTGATGCTGAACAGCCAGAGAGATGGAAGATGGAAACTGCCGATTGCACTTTATTGGGACTTACAACGTTTATTTGTGCAGCATGGTGTTTTAATTGGTCTTTGCATATCGCATCACTAATATACGGGTGAGTATTTGACAATAATACGTTTAGAACATCATGATATCAAGAAAACGCCTTCATTTTCCATATTTTGACAGATGTGTACTTTGTATATTACAGGATTTCATATGTTATTGCATTTCGTTAGGTCAGCTGTCAAGACAGTCTACATGTTTGTGCATCAAAAAATTTTTTTACTATATTTGGATAGTAATAGCATTATATGAAGGATGCATGTAACATATGCCTACATTATGTAGTAAGCTGCATGTACTGTAAACAGCTCGTGCAGCGAAATCCATGGATATACTCAATCAGTCAACATTTAAATCAGAAACCGATAAACACGAGGTATGAACATCAGTAGGTCAGTTTCTTCGAAATACACTTTACATCATGATATCCGATTCTTAGTTGATAAACGTGATATAATATTTAAATTACTGGTATGTTTCTTAATATCTTTATAAAACCATTTTTGGTGTATTTGGTTGACATCAACAATAAGAATAACACTTTAGTATATTTAGTTATAGGTTAAATACTGATGGTGAGATTCTTATTGATGTCATCTCTCAGTCCCTGGCCTTTAATTTAGAATGACTTACAAAATTACTTGTATATTATTAGTCTATTCACAGTTTAATGAGTCACGATTTATCACTTGTATTGATTTCTTCCAGAGATACCTGTTATATGCATACACAAGAAAAAGAACCTTAGTATTTTAAAATAAGATGTCACTTTTGATCAGTCTCCTTTTGTTAATAACTCTTGTTTTCATTTTAAACCCACAGGGTAAAATGCTTAAACTGATAAGGACTAAGCCAAGGGTGTCTGAATTTTTTAGCAACAAAAGGAATCAAAGATTTTTTTAATGGTCATTTCAATCAAACCCTTAGGCATGTGACACTCTACATTTGAAATTTTGAATGCCTTACAGCTTACTTGGAGTATTTGTTTTCATTGACATGAAGAAATCACTACAGGCATGTTTTATTGTATACAACAAAATTAACCTCATTATATACAAATATTAAGGAGAAAAAAAAAATGTAAGATATTAGTAACATTTCTGTTTGCATTGCTTCAGTTATTTAAAATCCAGATGTTAAGTCAGATAATTTGTTTAGTTAGATAAGCATCCTACATAATCATGATCGTTTTAAGATTATTAGATGGTGTATAATTTTGAAAAGAAGATATGTTTCATGCTTTTCTTCTGTTAATATTATGAATGTTGCTACAGCACAAAAATTATTTCCCTGTTAGTAAAATCTTTCAGTTAGGATTAGAGATCTATTACACCAATATCATAGTAATTGGTTTGTAGTGCTATAGACACAACCATCTCCGAAGATACTACTGTCTGCATATTACATATACCATGTTGATTCCAGCACTACATGTAGTACATAATGGCTAATGAGAGGATGTTCTCGCCCTGTTTTTGTAGTGTGTATAACAGATATTCAGGCAATTTACACACCGCTAGGAGTGCACTTGTTCAGTTATCAATTTAATCAGTGCATGTGTACTAGATAGAGATATAATAGGCAATTCCGAGATGTTACAAGTTATTTATAAATAGGTACAAATTTGTGCAATAGATACCAGTGACTTTCACAGGTAGATACCAGTAATTCCTGGTATGTACAAGTACTGTATTATGCAATATCCTCAATTAAAATCAGCAAAAGAAGAGAAGTAATTATGTCACTGACAACTAAAACATACATTTATTATTAGACATGATAATTACTTACAATTTTGTGGTAAAATGGACAGCTCACATGTACTGTAAAACAGCATTACGTTGGCATTATGTCAGCTGACTGTAAATGCTATAGTTTTATTTCATACACATGTTACGTAATTTTATATTATTAATGGATATGTATGACAAAATAATAAGCGTTTGTGTAGACAGAAATCTCAACCATATTAACCACAATTGTGTTTTGCCTGAAAATATCACACTTGGGTTGACATTTAGTTTGATTACTACACAGAATAAATAGATTGTAGTAATGATATTGGTACTAGAATAATAGTAGTATGTAGTTTAGATACAAAAATAATAGAAATATATTATAGAATAATACAGGTATCGTATTGAGACATGAAAATGATGGTCAAGTCACCTTAAAACCATAGTTTCACAATCATTTCACATAGTACATTCTGTTTACAATACGATTATTGTTCATATTACAGAATGCAATTTAGATATATCTTCGAATAAGTTACGCAAAACATTTAGGTACTCTGTAAATCAATACACTTCACTAATGATGTTGTGATTAAGTACATATGGAACAGGTACATTTCTAAAAATGTTCTAACAAAAACAAAAAACTACTGAAATGAACCATATTTAGATATTCGTACATATAAATGATGGACCTCCAATCATGCTTAATTTACAGGAGATGGAAATTCAACAGAAAGCTGAATCCAGCTGTCCCATTAGAGGAACTCCCAGGTGTCTCCATCATAAAGCCATTGTTGGGAGTTGATCCACATCTATTTGAAAACCTAGAATCCTATTTTAACATCAAATACCCACAGGTAAGTACAGTAAATTGTGGTATTGTCTGTGATGTTTACCATTTTTGTTATGGTAAAAGCTCTTCAGAGCTAATGTATACACATCTCTTTTACAACACCAACTAAAATCTGATATCTTTATTGTAATTTCATAATACATGTCCTGAGTTGTGGAAATCAGTTGATCCAGAAACCAACAATCCAACAGTCTTTATGAAAGATGTAGAATTTTGGTTGCCTAAAAGCAAATGCGAATTGATGATATCCTTGGTGAATTCTCAGGGGGGAAAAATATTGAGATTACACAAATTTGAGGAAATATTGGCTTTTTTCTACTCTATATATGACTGGTGAAAAAACATTCTGGAAAGGAACAGTACAGTCCTTCACTTTTCAACGATAAGCTGTGTGCAAAAATAATTCCTGGTATTTTTCATTAGCAATTGAAATTCCTGATTGTGATTTACAGTATTAAAGTTTAATCATTCTGGGTGCACTTGATAATGGGCATTTCTAATCTGTTTGACTGTCTACGAGAAGAAAACACCTGAATTATTGACAAGTTGAAGGTAATCTGTAGACATGCTGCTATTGATTCTGTTGATTCAACAAATTACAATAAAAATACAAAGCATATAATCTACATCTCCCATATCCAACTAATTACTACCCTTTACACAATAGATACATCAATGTTTTGTGTAGGATACACTTAATTAGGTTTACTATGATGTGAATAATGCAGAGACAACAATAATGTGACTTTGTTTCTGTGTTGCTTTGCAAGTTGTCTGCTTGATAAAATTCATCACATTAATGAAAGAACTCGAGTAGAAAGTTGGCTTTTGATGGTAACAGATGGAGCGATGTGTGACAAAGCACTAATGTAAATTGAGCTGAGGTTAGGGGTGTTTTTATTCTGTGTTTGTGAGGTATATTTAAAGTACCTTGGGAGACCTATTGCTGTAACTCAGCAAGGATTTATAGAGTGGAGAGGAAGTGGACTGGAAACTGTCACCAAAACATTTTGTTAAAGTCTTTTGTGTTATATATTTAGCTGTGAAGTCAATCAAACTTTGAAGAAATAGTGCATGGCAACATTTTAAAATATATATATGGTTTATATCTATATCCATTCAGAATGCTTTCAAATTTTTATCAGAATTACACATGAATGAACCATTGATAGGGTTGTTGTGGGCTGTTTCAGCATGTCATAAGTGCCATGCTTTATCTGATTTACATCTCGGTTATCCCAATTTCATGTTTAAAATTTGTCTTTTTATGTCCCCATAAAATTGGGGGGAGTGGGGGGTGGTGGTGATTGTGTCAAAAAAAGCTAGTATTGCAATAATATTATTACGATAGTCAAGTGACTATTGTGATACTATCGTGATAGTATTTTTACTTTTAAAATATGTTTTGTTCTTCTAACTCATAAATAAATGTCACTAACCAATTAAATGGTATCAGAATGCACAATTTAGCAAATGTTATAGCTGAAAAAAATAGTTTTCAATTTTCATACAATCAAGTATGCTGCACAGTGATCTTTAACTTTGTTATATTTTCATATTATTCATTTTATACATAGGCATGCTGTTCTGTTGTGAATCTCATACAGAGCAGGACTCGAGACTGAACAATATTATTTTCATATAATTCCTGATTGCTATTATAATCGCTATCAAGAGCAAACTTATCAAATGGATAGTTCAACCTATCGTTAAACCACATGTGTCCAAGGGGCCAAGGTCAAGTCCAAGGGACACCCTCGCTATATTAAGTGAAGTGTTTGTACAGATTTATAGAACACTGAGACTAATAATATTTAGATTATTCTCTAAATCGTAGGTTGTGGTTTGGTCGATATCCAATATGTCGTGGGCATATCATAAGTTTTGAGATGGTTAACTAGATGGTTAATAACATAACAGAAAAAAAAGAGAGTTGTATCCAGGGTGTCATTTGTTTCCAGTAACTGTGTCAGATACAGTGCTACAATTTGATGTTAGATGTTTGACAAACTAGATCACATTCAACAGTGGGAAATTGACCTAACTTCCAGTTTTCTTGCCTATCGAGATGTTAGCCTAGCCCCTTCCAACTCTGACACATTGATAAAATTGTGTAGTAGCCACACATTCCAATGCCTTCTATAAGATACGCCTGGAGGAAGTTTGTAGTGAAAACAACATGATATAGTTGAAGATAGTTCAGGTGATAGGGGCAGGGTTAAAAGGTGGAGTCATTCATCCTTGCCAAGCTTAGTAGTGGGTGCACATGGCATTACTAATTTGTATACAGTGATACAGATGTCCAGGAAGGGCTGACCTGGAGACCAATTAAAGAGATAGGATGACCCTTATACCACAGTAGGCTGATATGCTCTTCACATTGGTCAACAATGTTATACTGACCCAAAGCAAGCCAAATGTAACTGATATAGGTTTGCCAATGAATTTGACAGCATGCAGTCTTAAATTTTGTAAACCATCTGCCAGTTCTTATCAAAAGCTGGTCAATATGCAAATTACAAGATATACATTGACAACCGGCATTTGAGGAAGACGGATGAGGAGGTTCACGGGGGAGTAGGAGATTGGGTTCACAACTTAGCAATGTTATGCCAGATATTAATGAATGCAAGTAAAATGTCTTAGATGAAATCTTCTTACTACACTTAGATTACTCAAAAGGTTCAATTCTAAACTCATTTGGCACATTGGTAGTAAGCTGGAAATTGTTGTGGTAAGAGATAAGATAGGTGACTAGCCTGGAAAGTTATTACAAACAGTTATCTTGACCTCAAATACCATCACCTGGGCTTGGCCAACATTTTTTGGCAGGAAATCCTAGGGTTAAAACAACCTGCTGGATGGTAGTAGCTTTTTAGAAGAATGTTGTATGATAAGACACAGCAGTGCCTAGTGTGATAGTGTACTACATCCTACTGATGGCATTTTCCCACAGCTGTGGACCATTGAGACATCTAATCTCACATGTTTTTCTTACCTTTGATATACACATTTACAGTTCTGCTACCTTGACCGTGGAATGTAGGCCAGTCTAATGGAGCTATTGGGTATCTGGTTTATAGACTTCATACATAATTAGTGTATGATTAGCACGATGACAATATGCATGCTTATTTAAACCTGCCAACATTGTTTAATTAAATGTTTTTATAGAATGAAATGAAGGAACATAATGGTTCTGGTTTGAGGATGTTAAACAGATGTCTGTTTCCTCCCTCCAGCAAACTATTCTACGATCATTTCAAAGTTATAAAATTTAGGTCTGATATAATTGCTACAGCTTCAAATAAAAAGAAAATTATGTATTTTCAACACCCTCACAACAGCATTTGTGAGCCGCTGTTGAATATGGACAGTGAGAAAGTATTTATCACTGATTGTAGATGTAGACACAGACACACAGACCAGCTGAACTACATACTTTGGCATTTTACACTAAGGTTACATACCAAGATATACCTTATCATACAACATTAGAACTAGTGATAGCAATAAAATAGAATGCTAACCAGTGCTGAACCATATGGATCTTGGAACATCTTCATACAGCCTTTATTGATCAACATTTCTTCATTATGAATAAAACTAGTTGATACAATAACTACAGAAAGTCTCAGGCATCATTAATTGGACAAAGAAATGTTATATAGTTTTGGTAAATAATAAACAAATCAGTTTTATTTTGATTTTTTGTTTTGATTTGGATGTTACACAATTTATACACACCGTTAGAAACAAAACAAATAGGTAGATGAGGTCGTGAGGTTTATTAACTGAAACTAGTGCTGTTGTTATCCTTGTTCTGTAATCGGTAAAGTTAGAGAACTGCACTTGAGGACCTGGTTAAAGAACCATGCCTGAATTTTCTAATGGTTCTAATGGTCAGCATTCATTCCGTATAATGAGTGCTGATTGTGTAAACCACTCCGGCATTTATTGATAAACAATGCTGAATTCCTGGCATTTTTGACACTTTTGTTTTGATGATGGTGACTGTATTCCTGGAGATACTGCACTCAGATAGTTTGTTAAATGTGTTTGCTGTAGCAGGTATGCCGGGATTATTGTAGAGAAGACAATTGCACTCGACTAGGAGGTAAATGTCAAACCTATCCAATACAATATCCACTAAAGTAACGACCCCAGATGGTATTCAGGAAGAATTATTACAGCATTTCTGCTCCAACAAACTGCCCCATGATAATAGACCCAAAGCTGCATCTGTATTACTCTCCCTTGAGTATTTTGTATAAATTGATTTTTATATACATCGCCAGCTTGCCATCAATGGATCTTCATAAGTATGGTTTTACCACATCATTTTGTGCCTTATTCAAAGGCTGTCTGCAGACATTGAGCTGAGTAGGGATGTAGACCTATCATTAGGTGCCCACCCAAACAGTATATCTGGGAGAGTTTTATCATACATAACAGTATTATGTGTGCATTGAGGTAGAGTTATTATTGCAAGCAACTAGTTTCGTATAAATATATATCTACACACTAAAATCTGTCCCTGGTGATACAACTATGGCATAATGGACAGTAATTCCTACCCTTATAGGTGCCCAGCAGCACAAATAACTACTCATTTCAGGAAACCAGTCAGCATTGTTGCATGTCCTTTTCCCGTAGGTCTGACATTATTATTTAATCAGTAATTTATTGCAAAACAAATGTATGGTTGATAAAGCCAACTATTCTATAAAATGCAGTGCTCATACGTTATTATTCCTTTACTATTTCTCTGATGACTTTGATTGAGTGGCAAGTTTTAGTGAGTGACCATCGAGTTTTAATTCCAGCAAAACATACGTACCCATACAGTTACGTAGGACATCATATCATTTTCAGAATATTTTAACCATAATTTTGAAAGCTCTCTTCATTAAATATCACTAATAATTCTTCAAAATACAAATGGTTATTAAAAGAACTTAGTAAAAATAGACGAAAAGAGAACCTCACATCCTTGTAATCTTG